GACTAACTTGAAATGTAAACTTCATTTAATTACATCAATAAAAAAGAAAAAGAAAAAAAATTTTCAAATACAGTAGAGAGAACAATGTAATAACCCCCCATTTAACAATTATCACCTACATTCAACAGCTATCAAGATCTTGCCTCATTTCTTTTATCCATATATACATACATATATATATGTATATATCTGCATACACACGTATCCTTTTTTGGCTAAAGTATTATGTATTTCATATGCATTAAAAAAATGGGCAATTTCTTACATAACCATGATACCTAAATAAAACTAATGGTAATTCTTTGGTATCATCTAATACCTAGTCTGTATTCAAATTTACCTGATTGCCTCAAAAATGTCTTTTGACAGTTGGTTGTAATAATTAGTATATGTAATAATTAGTATCAAATACCATATTTGGTTATGTCTCTTAGATCTCTTTTATTGTAAAACAGCCCTTCCTCTTCTGTCTTGTCAATGATTTAATGAAGAAGTCTAGTCATTTTTCTTATTGAATGTCCCACATTCTGGATTTGTCTGTTTGTATCCACAGTCTCAGGGGCTATGTTTTTCATTCATTTACTCAACAAATATGCATAAATATGCTCATAAATATGAGCCAGAATTCTATAAAATGTGATGGCTACAGTAGAGAATACAACAACCACAGTCCTGGCTCAAACAGAAGAAAGCCGTGAAAGAAATAATTACACAAAATGCTAATTACTAGCAGTTGTGATTCACGCTAAGAAGGAAAAATAAAAAGTTAAGAGAAATTATAGCAAGGGAACCTAATCTATTTGAGGGGTCAGGGAGGGTATTTATCTTGTAAAATTCAAAGTACCTAGTACAGTATTAAATAAACAAACATTTCTGGGTTGGCTGGACAGTGAGTTTTCTGCAGATATCAGGCTTTATTGTAAACTAAAGGACATATCACTATCCTTTAAACATCTGAGTTTCAATTTCAAATCTGAATACTGGGCAGAAAATCTAGCCCAGAGTCCACAGATGGACTTTAGCAATCTGTGAATTCTCTGAAACCGTATGTGATATTACTATACGTTAGTGGCGGTGTGAGTGAGTAGAGATGTGCGTTTTTCTTCAAAATTATTTATCTCTTAACATTTTATTGTTCTTTAGGTGAAAGTTTCCATAGCAAATTAATTTTCCAATCAATAATTCTTACACAAATTATTTCAGAGATATGCATTTCTAGGAAGAAGGGCCACAGCTTTCTTTGGAGTCTGTAAGGTTACTTAAACCATGAATCCTAACATTGACTAATATAGAACGAACTAATCAACGGCCAACCTGCAAAATATTTCCAAGTCCAGTAAAAAGATGTTGGAATCACTCAGTGTCTGGAATTATCTATACCTCAGCTGCTTTCATCTGTCCACATGGATAAGAATTATTACTATCACTAATTTATTAGACCTTATCTCTTTTCCTTTTTGAGAACTTCTTAATAAATGCTAAGATTAAACAAACTATTTGAGGTCTGAACATTAAATCTGATTCTCCTTGGAGTCTATATTACAGAAAACTGAAGGGGCAAACTAGTGGTTTCCTCCAGGCTAAATAAATTATTTTAGAAGAGAAAGAATAATTCAGGAAATGATTACATAGATAAAAAAACAGACTGCATTTTCTAGACCACTAGTTCAGGTATTAGGACAATGAATTTTTAACAAGGAATGGCATGGATATTATGAAAACCCAAAAGTACATGCTTAGTAGGGTATCTCCACATTGCTCAAAGGGATTCTAAGTTAAAGTTAAGGAAGGAAATATATGCAGGTATACTTTAAGACAAGGAGCCCTGGTGGCGCAACAGTTAAGACCTCAGCTGCTAATCAAAAGGTTGTCTGTTCAAACCCGCCAGTCACTCCAGGTGAGAAAGACCTGGTGATTGGCTCCTATAAAGACTGTTATTGTTGACTGCCTCCTATAAAGACTGTTATTGTTGTTGGCTGCTGTTGAGTCGATTCTAACTCATAGCAACCCCATGTGACACAGTAGCACCGCAGAGCTGCTGGTGGGTTCAAACCACCAACCTTTCGGTTAGCAACCCACAGATTCACCACTGCACCGGCAGGGCTCCTAGAAAACCGTATGAGTCAGTTATACCCTGTCACATAGGGTCACTATGAGTTGAAAACCTACTCCACGGCACCAAACAGTAACCATAACAACTCACTTTAAGATTAGATATAATGGAGGATAAAAGAAGAAAAACAGTAGCGGAGAAGATAAATCATTTTAAAAGATTATAGCACTACTAAAAAAAATTATATAAAGTATATTATTTTTATACAATGCCATCTACTTGAGACCAACATAAATACTTAAGTCTCCCTCGGTCATATCAGATGCTAGTCTAGTTTCTGGGCAATGGTATAGTATTTGATTGAGCTTCTTGGAAAGAAATATCTTCCTAAATTTTTCCCTCTCTGGTGTCTAAATTTTAAAGCTCTCTCTCTGTATGACTGGAGTATGTATGCTCAACTTGTAGAGTACATCAGACTAAGGCCACATGTATAAAAAGCACACCTTGACACCTAACCAAGTAGACAAGAAAAAAACAATCCATCAAGGCACTTCCTAAACTGAGGGAATGAAATGGAATAGATTTTTTTTTTTTTTTTTTAATTATTTGCTTGCATTTACTTTCAAACTCCTGAATTTTGTGTTCTTTTCCATACAAGATAGGAGCGCTCCTCAGGTGAATCAAATCTGCACGGTTCAGCTGTGGTCAGCTTCTCTTCAGACTCCCACTAGGGCTTGGTGATGCAGAGTAAACAAGGCAATAAATCAAATGCATTGCATTTAATACCTCAATGCATTGCAAATTGATCTGGAACAGGGGTCAGTTCAAATCGCTTTTGAAGGGACACTTTTCACATTAAGGCACGGGGAGGAGAGGAAAGGAGAGGAAGGAAAAGATGGCAAGGCCTAAAGTTATATTGGATTCAGACGTGTGGTTTCTTGTTTTAGGGCAGACTGGAGCCAGGTCTCCTCAGGTGAGATTCTTCAGTTATTTATCAAGTTGGAGCCATGGATATTTAAAAACACATTCTTGTGGCTAGCATTAAATCTGAAATCTGGTGGGGAACTTTTCAAGAAATAAAAGCTACAAACAAAATAGCTTTAGTTCCATTCAGCATGGTGTGGGAAACGGCTAATGGACAAGCATTACTATGACTGGCAAGGCGAGCTGCCAATAAATAATAGGAGCAGAAATTCAAACCGCCACATAACAACACTTCCTAAGCTGATTTCACTAATTTGTCAAAGGAGGACACTATCCAAACCAAGTGGAAGAAAAACAAGGTTGGAGAACAGAGGGAAAGAATTATACAAAAGTAAAAGCTATGCTTCTTTCATTACTGGTTAGTTATATCTGCTTTATGTAATTATGGTTCACTTCTATCATTTGCTGATATCACACTTGCTTTACGGAAGGTGACATTTTCTCCCTCTTTTTTTTTTATAACTTATTTTTGTTCTTGAGAATATATACAGCAGAATGTACACCAATTCGAGAATTTCTAGGTGTATAATTCAGTGACACTACATTCTTCGAGTTGTGCAACCATTCTCACCCTCCTTTTCCAAGTTGTTTCTTCCCCATTAAAATAAACCCACTGCCCCCTAAGTTTCCTATCTAATCTTTCTAGTTGCTGTTGTCAATTTGAGCCCATATAAATAGACCTTAAAAGAGCACAATGCTCAAGGCAGACATTCTTTACTACTTAAGCTAAACTACTGTTTGGTTTTAAGAGGACTTGAGGGGATATTTTTTGGTTTAAGGTTTAAAGATTATCTCAGGGCAATAACTGCGGGGGTTCATTCAACCTCAGTGGCTCCAGAAAGCTTATATTATATGTGAATTTGAAATTCTATTCTGCATTTCCCCTCTTTTGATCAGGAGTCTTCTACAGAATCTTTGATGAAAATGTTCAGTAATGGTAGCCAGGCACCATCTTTTTCAAATGAAAAGCAGAGAGCTATTTCTGCTGGGATAAGTTTCCATTGTTGCTTATGCCTGCCTTGTTTTTTTCCAATAGAAAGAAATGAAGTCTAGTAGTTGGGTGGGAAGAAAGTGTGCAGTCCTGACATGCCATCCCTCAGAGAGGCTGTCTGACCTCAGGAACCATATTCTTTTCTCACTTGTCTTTTTTTCCCCTAGGAAAATAAGAACCTCAAGGGTTGTCTCCAATTGTCTTTCCATCTTCAACTCTTAATTTCCTAATGATTTTAAACAGGCAAACTAACTGTTAAACTAATCAACAGTTGTAATCTCTTATCCTTTGAAATGGAATAAAAACCAACCCGTTATAAAGGAAGAACAAATTCATTTAACTGAACAGTTTCAAATCAGTCCAAAATTTAATGAACGATGCCTTAAATTCTATCTCAGAAAGGCTTTTTAGTGTAATGGTTAAGAGCACAGACTCTGGGTGTGGACTACCTAGGTTCAAATTCTATGTCCACCACTTACCAAATGTTCAGATTTAGACAGATAAATTAACTTTCTCTCTCTAAGCCTCCATTTCCTCATCAATAAATAGGGAATAAGAACTGTTCTACATCACAGGTTGGTTGTACCTGGCATAGAGAAAGCACTACATGAATGTTAACTGTTATTATGACTACCTCAGAAAAGGTTACATTAACCTGCCTACTATAGGTTATGTTAGTACTATTAAACAGTTACATGTAAAGTCAAGTGAAGGATGAATTAACAAAATCCTTTTGTTAATCAGATAAGGAAAAAGGTTAAGAATTAAATCCTTTCTATAAAATTAGCCTTAACTAAGGCTAAGGTTTTCCCAATAACACAAGTACACACTTGACTATCAGAGATAAGATATTCTACCTAAACCTACATGCTTCAATAAAAAAGAGTCAATTTAAACACACAAACTATCATAATAGCCTATTCTAAAACACTGACATAATCTGAAACATTGCTCTGTGAGCAAAATACATACTTTTGGGGTGATCTGTTATCAACTTCAGCCTTTAGGCGTAAATTCTCCCTCACCAGGCCACCATTTTCCAATTTCAATTTTTTATTTGCCTTAAAAAAAAAAAAGAGATAATTAAGCACAAGCTAAAACAAAAGTGCCTTGTAAAAATTATCACGTGAGCCATCTGTATTTTTTACAGCAATATCAGAAAATGGATTTTTAGAACATGGCCTTCAGAAACTTAAAATCACCCTGGGAATGACTTGTGAAATTGTGAACACGACCAAGCATTGTTAATTTGTATTCCCCAAGCACTTCGCACATCTCCTATCAAGGGAAATAAAGAGAGCGACATTAGTTAGCACAGAGTCATTAGGGGACTATACAAATGGCAAATACATGTTTTTTGTTTTTTTCTTCTTTTTCACATAATTGAATTACTTTAAGCATGGTAACATTATAACACCTGCAACTGTTAGCAAAACTAATGCAGAAGAGTTAATTCTTTAGCTATGAGATTGATTTTTTTGGTTGTTATTTTAAAATATTTTTCTAGTGAGAAGAAATCTAATATGCTTAAATTGCTTGCTTTCTTCAAAAAGGCTTTCCCAATACCCTGGCTTATAACTTCTGGGACCCTCAAAATTGGGTCAATATTTTCTAATCATTCCAAGGACTCTCCTTTGATATAAAAAAACAAAAACAATCCCAAGTGTGATTTTTTTCTTGAATTGTATGATAGCTAAAAATCTCCTAACAAAACACTAACTGATAGAAAATCTGGAGGCTCTACAGATAGGCTCTATATAGATATCGACTCTGGCTAGTCTGAAAAGCAGTGTACCTGAATTTTACAGTCTTCTTAAAAGCTACTTCTTTTAAATTCCCTAGTCACCGCATTTGTGAATACCAAAGAAAAACAAGACATCCTAGACTAGAAACCAGCCTCATAACCGGGCAAGAAACATTCCCTTTTTGACGAGGACATTTACATTCAAAGTGAGTGGGTCACAAGAACTGCTGTCAATGAAGCAGCAGCTTAAAAACAGAGTTTTAAAAATTTGATCAAGGTTTTTAATTAATTTCCAGAACTCTTCACTGTATTACTCGCCCATCCACACACAAATACCCCATGATGATTACAAGGGAAGCATGGCAGAGAGTATCCTTTTCGGTATGAAGCCTAGCTCTGCTACTTAGACTCATTTCATCCAGGTTCCTTTTGGGATCTGGGCACCTGCTTATCTTCAAGGTTGCTCACGAACCAGGATTGTGGAGGGTTAAGTTTTTAAGTAACTGATAAACACCATTACTGCCTCTATGAAGATATAAGGAAAGCCATTTACTTCCTCACACACACAATGAATTAAGCCCTCAAGCATAGCACCATAAGAGGAAGAGGCACTTAGTGAATGTTTTCTGATGATGCTGACAAGCTTAAATTAGAAACTCCTTTGATTTCCTTTCCCTATCCCCCATACAGTATCCCTATGTTTCAAGGTCTCTCACCAGTCCTGTGGTTCTCTAATACTTCTCATTATGGGCTGGCTAGTTCCTCAACTATCAGAGATATTTTCAAGTTACGGAATCTTAGGAGAATTCAAGTTATGAAGCAGACTTCTGCCTATTTGTTGTACCTAAAAGAGTAACAAAGACTTCAGCCAACTTCTGCATACTCGACACTGACTGGGTAATGACACTGGCCTCATGATGGTTCAAAACTCATCTAGTCCAGAAAACATTAGAAAAAGTCAACTGCACTCCTTCTAAGTAGTCCTTTATTCTGAATTTTTTGTTCTCCTGTATTTGATTTACAGTGTTATTATTCTGCACTTCACATGAGTTTCTGTCTTTGTGCTCACATTTTTAAATTCATTTATGCCCAATTTATAGCCTAGTACCTAATACTATCACTAGGATCTCAAACGGAGCTTATTAAATGTCCCAAATAATTCTGAGGTCTAAGAGTAGCTTTGGGTAGTGAATTTAACATGTGAACATTAAGAGAAACTAACTGTGCTTTATGTACTCGTTTTTATATACATCCCCATACTATTCTTAGGAGCCCAGAGTAAAATTTTCATATAGAGCCTCATGCTCTAAGTAAAGATGCATTTATTGCCAAAGATTTAAATGAAGTTTAATTACTATATAGGAGATCATCTGGAGTTTACTGATGGCTCAACAAGAGGCAGGAAAGTTACAGGACATGGTAGATTGATAAATACGGTAACCTCCCAACTGTCATTCTTTTTTGTGTTCTCTTTATACAAACCAACATGTTAATGTTGGCCATCAATACCCAAAGAAACTATACTCTTCCCCTAAACATACAACAAACTCATTGCAATTAATGTCTATAGTTTCTTCTACCTGAAAGCAGAAAGCATTAAGTTCCCTCCTTCCTTTCATCTTGTCCTTCTCGGATCTCAAACAGCATTTATTTCATGTGTTCGTGTGTGAAGATGGTTTAGTATATACATTAAGCTGCAAACACTTCTCTGCTATTTGACCTCCCTGAGCATTTGCGAGCTAGTATACAGTGGTCGCTGTGAGTTGAAATCGACTTGACAGCAGCAGGTTTGGTTTCTTTTTTTTTTAAAATACAGTGGTACCTCTTCAAAACACCATAGGGAGCTCAACGGTGATTTAGGAGACAGGATTTAGTAATTCAGCATAGGAATGGTATTTTAAGGGACTGTAGACAGGGTGGATCTCTGGTGGCACAGTGGTTAAGTGCTCAGACGCTAACCAAAAGGTCAGTGGTTCAAACTCACCAGTCACTCTGCCAGCCACTCCAAGGGAGAAGGATGTGGCACTCTGCTTCCGTAAAGATTTCCAGCCTTGGGTACTCTATGGGGCTGTTCTACTCTGTGCTACAGGGTCGCTGTAAGTCGGAATCGACTCAGTGGCAATGTGTTCGGTTTTGGTTTGGTAGACAGGCTGAGTGACTGTGGAGCTGGGTACCACAAAACCATTACCATTTAGCATAAGAGGACTCCACTGTGTATAAATCTGAAGTAAAAGTTAATGCTGGTCCCTTTGGTCAACAGAGCTCCACAACACTTGATTGTAGATTCCAGTGCTGATGGCACAGATCTCACCTCCCTTCCTACACTGGAAAAATCAGAGGTTCGCCTTTTTCACTTATGCACTCTCTATTTTGTTGGATGGATGGGAAGATAATCTAAAAAACGAACCAGCCTCATAAGCCACAATATTCTTTTGCATGGAATAGTCTAAAGTGGCTGCTCACAGCTTTCTTGGAATTAGTCACTAAACCTTTAATTATATATTTACAATCTTAAGAATGAGAGAATGGTAGTGCTAGCAAAGATACGGTCCAAATCTTTCGTTTTATAGGCAGGGAAATGGTAAGTTTGCTTTTATGCATGTAGGGTAGTCACTGATATAAGCTTAAAAAAAATTAAGGCAAACCACAAAGAGGGGAAAATAGAAATAGATCCTTTAAATTGATGTCATCCTCCCAAAAGAAGATGCAAACTCATACAGAAGCACTATAGAGTCTCCAATTATAGTCACAAATGGAACCATCTGATATTTCTTGGCAGCTAATGACATTTAAGGAGAAAAAGCAAGTTTTCCCACTGCATATAAATGCTCATCTAGGGGTTTCACCCTTACCCCACAAATATCTGATGATGAGTCAACATACTATTGAAGGTGCTTAAAAGTATTACAGAATTTTAAAAACAACCACACATAATTTTAAACACAACCACACTTACCTCCTTTAGCTTATCTACATCATCTTTCACTTTCTCATAGATTTCATTAGCTGTTCTGAGTTTTTTCTTCCACTCTGCTACAGTTTCTGAGTCAATTTTACTTGGATTATCTGCAACTGGATGTCTGTCTTCATTCTGGTTGCCCTGCATCAAGGTTAAAGGATCCAGAATAGTCTTGATCTGTGACTCCAAGCTGAGATTTTTACTTTTAAGCTCTTCTACCTCTTTCTGCAGACAATCTATTTCATCCTGAAAAAGGATTGCATAACATTAGATACTGAACACATAAGTATGTTAAACTGAAGCCAATGTGTTTTTAAAATTTTATACTCAAAATTCTGTAGATGCACAGATTTACGGATCAAATAGTTACATAGCCAGAGAGTCAGGTACTGCTGAAATTCTCCAAATGTATTCTGACTCTGATAAAACTGGCATTTTTGGTGCTTCAATGTTTAATTCAATGATAGTTTGCAGTTTTAAAAAACTGAAAATGTCGAATTTTTGATTCCACTTAAGATATCATTCAGATAACAAGAAAGTTGCTTGAATTCCAACAGGGAATTAGCTTCCATTTCAGAAGAAAATTTTGAGGCACATGTAATCGCTTTACTGAGGGGAATTAAAAAACACAGTGTACACCAAGGTGATCTATTAAGAGTTTTGTTTAATGTTTATATTTTTGCTTCTATACTTGAAGTAGGAGTGAAATCATATAATATTTCCTTTCACTTTTCATTTCAGAATAATACCTGTAGTTAGTTTTTAATTTTTAACTTTTCTGGATTATGGTTCTTCAGTTACCACCATGATTATTCTAAGTATTAGTTTTCCTCCTTTGGAACTACTTATTTTAAATCCAATCACTAGACATTTACACCAGAGCCCTTTCCTGTAATATCATTTATTCATCTGTAATAGATATTTCACTAAACCAAGGTTGTTAGAAATTCTGTAATTAGACAATAAACTCCACTGTATCCAAGTAGCTCAAAATGCCAGTGATTTCTCAAAGGATTTGATTAGGACTTAACTATGATAAATATCGATTTAAGTATATAAGCATACATTGTAGAATTAACACAGATAACACTATTTACTATTTTAAATTACATACATTTCAAGTTAAATAGTATTATAAAATGAGATAATGGCTTTATTGGTTTGAATTAATATATTTATTAATAAACAAATATATAGGAAAACACATATATGAAAGAACATTTATTCAAATCATTTATTTACACTTCACTTTATTTCAAAAGTTATTTGAGGCAGCTGAAGTAGTTTCCATGTATAGAGTTTAACTTAAACATATTTTGTGTCTAAAAGGAGATCAATAATATTCTCTCTTTAGTCAACATAAAATGACAACAGGGATTAAAATCTACCATTCAAAAGCATATGCATTCCATTAGCATGAAGTTATTAAAAACCCCATCACCATGTCAAATGAGCCTGCCCATTCACCTTCAGACAAGAATTAGAAAACAGCATATTTCACACTAAAATTTCTTTGCTGGTAGTTGACTTAAGATATATTTACTTTACCAGAATTGATCAGGCATACAATCATCAGTGAATTTAGTCAGAAACAAAAACAGAAGGGAGGTTTTAATCACTGTTTACCAGAGCACTCATAATGTCTCGTGGGAGTCAAAAGACTGATTTTCCCAAGAGGGTTTTCCTTTATCTCCCAATTTCCTGAGGGAGCAAATACTTCCAGAATGACGAGTCTGTTGAGGTACAGATTTAAATCAAAAAAGGAAATGCTTCCATTTGTTCCCTTTATGTCAAATCCTCTTCTCCCCTTCTTTGACGCTTAAAGGAAACAAAAAGTTCCTTTCCTCTATTTGAAATGGAGGAATGGAAAAGAAAAAGAATTTATCAAGTAAGTTTTTTAATTGGCACTTAAAATAAGATTTCACTGGATGTTTACGAAGTCTGAAGACTGAGGTAGTTCACTTTTACCTTGAATTCAATACTGTTAACATCTTAAACATTATTATTTACCTCATATTCTTTGTGGAGTAACTCAAGTCTAGTTTTCCGAAGGTGCTTTCTGACTGTATGACTTAGCATAGGTTCACTTTCACTTGTTCCTCCTACAAAAAAAAAAAAAAAGCCCTGATTTTTCATTCTGACTTGGGTAAAATGAAAATGAACCCTTTACTTACTGTTTTATTAGTTCCCCAGCATAACTTCTACCCTGTCCCTTATATACACATTCTAGGCTGCCATCTAGACCTTGTCTCTATCCCAATGCTCAGAAAAAAATAAATATCAAATAACACCATAAGAAATACCTTCAGTAAAATATCATGTGTGTGTTTACTTACCTACGTATCTTATTATTGTAAATTCCATGAAGCAAAGCCTGTATTTTATTAATGTATCACATTTGGACTACTACAGTCTGCATACTAGACAATTGTTAAGTGATGATAAGACCAATGAACTATTCAAACATGCCTGGTTACTGGTAACACAACTGCAAAGATTAATGGGTCTTTTCACTGATTCTAACAACCCAGATACAATGGATTATAACTCATAATATTAACTCTATGCCCATAATGACTTGTTATAAATACTCTCAAGATGAATACCTTAAAGCTCTTCACTTACACTTGTTTACCCTATTTTTCTTTGTATTTCTTAGCATCATGATAGTAAAGGCATTTTACAGATGTTCTTTTTCAGGACCCTCTTTATCTAAATGCAAGGATGGATGAACTATTTCACTGGAGAGAATTTATGAAATGTCACTTAGATATCAATGAATGAAGGCATGAGAAGGGATTTGAAAAGAACTAGGGGGAAAATCATTCAAACTCTTTTAATCATCAAAGCTCATATTCTGCAAGAAAAGTCTTGACTCTGGTGAACTTCAGTACAGGTGAAAAAACTAGAGATAGAAAGTTCAACACTGCACCATGCAGCACAGCAGAGAATTATTCTGCTAGCCCACTTCATCCAGAAACCCAAGAAAGAGACCTTGCGGCCATCTTTTTGGATATCTTAGTTCCAGAGTCCCATTAGTTCTTCCTTTGCCTCCAGCATATGTCTTTTTCCTTTTCATTTCCACCGTAAAAATGTTATTTATGTCCATTTTCCTTAATTTGGGACTATTACAATGACTTCTGTAAGTTTTCTGGACAGTGTTTTCTATACATGGCTAATTATAGATTCACTTTCAGTTTCTCCTAAAGCAAAAATAAAGATCATTTTAATTTTTGCAATCTGAGAGAAATGACTTATATAAGCATGATAAAAAACCATAAACTAAAAACACTCTTTAAATGTTTTATTTTTCAAGGATCCTCTAGTTCAAGTTTTATTTCCCCTCTTGCCCATATTAGTGTGCCACTGACTGTTCTTTCCCACCCTTAATCCAGACTCAAATTCTCCTTCACCTGAGCAAAAGCCTCCTACCTGACCCACTCACATCCTGTCTCTCACCTGCATATCACTACCCGAGTACTATTCCTAAAGCATATTTTGGATCATGCCACTCTCTTGCTTAAAACTATCAGGTGCACTTCACCCTTCTTCTCACCTAAAGGGCAAATCTCTGATTTAGTTTGTCACTCAGGTTCTCTACAGTAAAGTCTCAATTTACCTTTTCAGTCTTATTATAGTAGTCAGATCCAAACCAGACTGATTATATTTCCAAAAACATGTCCTGTGTATTTCAACTTCTAAACCTTAGTTCATGTCATTTCCTCTGCATGAAATGCCCTCCCTAATCTTTACCAGTTGAAATTTTATCCATCCTTAAATGTATAGCTTACATGCCATCTACTTCATGAAGACTTTCTCAGTGTTCCTAAGTGAATTTCCTTGCCTGAACTTTCTGGGCTGTTTTATTGGCCCTGAGAATCTGCTGCTTTAAACCTTTAATATTTTGGGCCACATGCATCGCCTCTCCCAGAATGTGAACTCCATGAAGCTCTAAGGTTGATTTTTCTTACCATCTCTCATAATGCTTAGTGTCCCTCAGTTGCTCCATACATATATTATATAAATTACTAATCCACCCAGCATGCTGGCCAAATTACATCATTGAAAACTGTCTGTTTCAGTCTTCCCCCAAATATACATTATTTGGAGACTGTTTCAAGTCTGTTTCTACACATATGTAAAATAGGCCCTTACCGATAATCTCTTTGCAAGGATTTTCAGGAGTGATGGGGACTCTGCAAGCTGGACACTGGCTATTATTCTTCAACCACAAATCGATACAAATCGAACAAAATACATGGTTGTTGATGCATATGACAGGCTGGCGTACCTTCAAAAAAGAAACATTACTTTTAGTACAGGGCAAGAGTCATAACTAGAAACCCAGAATAGTTTAGTTCAGAGCAAACAAACTGTTTCTCTAGAGTACAGCAGAGTAGGTGCTTTAAAAGAGAATATAAAATGTCTAGCATTTATAAAAGGACTGCTTCTTATAAGAAACCTCACTGCTGCATACACAGTCATGTGTCACTTAATGTCCACAATATGTTCTGTGAAATAGGACATTATGAGATTTGGATATTATGTGAACACCATATTACGTATAGGCACTCCCTGGCTTACAAATGAGTTCCGTTCCTAGGTCTGTCTTTAAGTCGAATTTGTACGTAAGTTGGAACAGTTAGGTATGGATCGTATCTAAAGTCAGTTAGTCAAATCCTTGTCTTAGTATAGAGCATAGTGTACCTTTTTATGCATAAGCAAATTAAACACTTCCAAGTACACTAAAACATCTTTAACATAATAATACAGTAACAATAAAAATAATGTTTTGATGTGTGTCACAAAGCAACACCCATTTGTTATTACAAGCCATTGTATGTACCTTGAATTTTTAATATAATAGGCTTTATGGGGTTGGTTTGTAACTATGGGTTTTACGTAAACTGGACGTTTGTAATCTGGGGACGACAGAAAGTATAGTATAAGTCATCCCTTGGTATCCGTGGGGGATTGGTTCCAGGACCCCTGCGTATACCAAAATCTGCAGATGCTCAAGTCCCTTATATAAAATGGCATACTATTTGCATATAGCCTACACACATCCTTCTGTATACTTCAGATCATCTTTAGATTACTTATATTACCCAACACAATGTAAATGCTATGTAAATAGTTGTTTCATCACAATTGAAGACTTGCTCTGGAAAGTAGCCTTTCTCTTCTGTAAGTTTTTTGAGCTCTTCTGGGAATGCTGATGCTGATTCACTCATGATCTTGAAGTTCTGGAGGCTGTAGTGCTTTCCATAGCTAGCCATCCATCCCTTTACTAGCCTTAAACTCCTTCCTCTTGCTCTCCTCAACCCCCTCACACTTAGCCTTTAAAGGCCTGTTTTTTAAAAAAAAAAAAAAATTGCTTTTTTAGGAGCCATTTTTTCACAGAAACAAAGGGTGCACACAAGTAGTGAATGAACAAGGCGTGAGGTGAACAATGATCTAATAACAACTGCTGAAGAGAGACTGAGGATCAGTGAAATGGCAGGAGGCTACAGCAGGGTATGCCTACACATCCCTTCCTTTGCGTGGACTCAGTGTCGAGCTAGGCACGTGGAAAATTCAAGGTTTGCTTTTTGGAACTTTTTCCCCCCAAATATTTCTGATCCATGGTTGGCTGAATCCACTTATGCAGAACCCATGGAAATGGAAGACCGACTTATACAATACAAACATAAGCCAGTAACACAGGCACTTATTATGACTATCAAGACATATGTATTACAGATTATATGTGTACTGTATCATTATACACCTGGCAATGCAATCACTTTGTATACAAGAGACGTGAGCTACATGTGTTGTGTGCAGGAAGCTGTTGCACTGGCCATCTATGGTTACATCTGCTACGTCCCATTCTCCGACTGGGATTTCTGAACTCTGTTATAACCTTACGGGACCATGAACGTATATGCAGTTGGAAGTTGCTTCAACAGACGTTATGCAGTTTATGACTGCATAAAGATACTTGCTGAGGCAGCAGCCACAGACTGAGGCTTTTAACATATTATGAAATTCTTTTTTTTGGACCTAGCCACATTCATGGGCAGAAAGAAAATGTTTTTTGTCCCACTGAGGCTGGGACAATTTTCCACAAGTTATTCTATTTTAGAATTATGAAATATCAGGATCAGAAGGTTCTTTAAAGTTCTTTTTGCCCAATTACTCATCTTATGCTTGAATCTTTCCTTCAATTCATTCTACTGTATTATGGAATAATAGCAACTGACCATTAAACATTGACTTACTAGAAATTCCCCAAAACCTAAGAGATATGAAACAACCCCAAAAGGCATGAGCCACACTATCAAATGGTTTATAAGCTATACATGAAACAACGCTGACAGAAAGACTGACAAATATCAAACACACAAATCCTCGACTCCATTTAAACAAGTACAAATAATAATACCTTATACGTATATTAAGCCTTGTATTTTACAAAGGGCTTTCACATACATTCTCTCTTTTTCCGCTTCCTTTTTTACTACAACCCTGTGAGGTAAACAGGGTAAGTACATTTTACAGACAAGGAAACCAAGGCATGAAGAAATAGGGTGGTTGCTCAGGGTTAATCGGGTGTTTCGACTGTGTGTAGTTATTTTTTCCAAGAGCAAACAGAAAAGAGAAGCTGCTTTGGCTTTCTTCATAGCATTTACACTATGCTATGATACTACCTGTTTGTTTACATATTTATATTCTCCCTGTTTACATATTTATTGTCTCCCCTATTAGAATAGAGGCTCCAGGAGAGCAAGAACTTCTTTAGTCTCATTCATTCCTAAAACCCTGCCTCCTAGAAGAGAGCCTTGTATATACTAGATAGTCAATAAAGGTTTGTGGAATGAATTAATTACTATTAAGACAGTATTTAACGTTCAATTAGTTGGGGAACTCGTCAAACAGCACAACTTTAGAAAGAAAAAAGAAAAACAGGATAGAAATCCTTAGCCTTTCACTTGATTTACATGGTACTTTCATTGTGGAAAGAAGCCCTGGTGGTGCAATGGTAAAAGTGTTCTGCTGCTAACTGAAAAGTTAAGAGTTTCAAACACACCAGATACTCTGTGGGAGAAAGATGTGGCCGTTTGCTTCTGGAAAGATTTCAGCCTTGGAAACCCTACAGGGCAGTTCTACTCTGTCCTACAGGGTCATTATGAGTCAGAATCAACTCAGTGGCAATGGGTGTTTCGGTTTTCACTGCGGGACTCAAAACACTTGAGTCATCTTCATTATTTTTCTTGTCCCAATATTAATAACAATACCAGTGCAAAGCCCTTCTGCAGTGGGGACTAGAAGACTAGACAACTGAGGGAAAGCACAGCAAACAGCGGGAGCATGAAAAGTTAGGACTGCCACAAACCACTTCCCTCAGAGAAACACTTGCACTGCTCTCCATGCCTCAGGATACTATGGCATTCAAACTCAAGCTCTACTTCCAAATTGTTCCTACCAGCACCAAGGAGTGAATGCTTATCTCTGAGGTACTCCCAGTCAGAGTTTCAAGGGGCAGACAACAAGCCTGAAATTTCTTTCCAGGTTCTGTTTTTTCCTAAAAAGATATGTGATTCTGAAGCCCAGACCATAATATATTCTTGTGTGTTTTAATTCCATTTTTAAGTCATAAAGCCTTTTAAGAGCAAAAAAAATCAAACTAAGTACCAAGAAAATAATGCTGTTATCTATTCTTAGCTTCTCTCTCCCCCAAACACACACCATATTCCTAAAAGTACATATACCCCCAAATGAAGAAGCCCAGATATAGCAGGAAGAATTATCTCCTTGAATTAATATCTACTTTTAGAGCAGTGACTTTATTTTTTTTAAGTCATTAACTCATTTGAAAATGAATGAAAGCCAATACTCACGACATAAAACTGTACATTATTTAAGGGGATACAAGGTGCTCTCCCATCTCCTAGAGGCATCCTCCATTTAAAGACTGCATGTTTAAAGGCAATCTATGTATTTGCTCCCACAAAAAGGTTAAGTATCTCTTCAATCTAAAAAGGGTTCTGAGCAACTCAGTGGTTGGTGCTACCATTTACTAAGATGGGAAAGACAGGTGAGAAGCAGGTTTCACACAGGGTGGAAATCAAGAATTCTGTTTTGGCCATGTTAATTTGAGATACCAACTTGACTTTCAAGTGGAGAAATTCAGCAAGGCAGTCTCTGAGAGTCACTGGCATAAAACAGAACGGCATCTAAAAGAGAATGGCACTTGGCCATGAGATCCCCTGCATAGACAGAATTGCTGGAGAAGAGAAGGTATTCCAGGAGCACCGCCTGGGGCTTTCCAACATGAAGAGATCAAGCAGAGGAAGAGGAGAAGGAACCAGCAAAGAAAACTGAGAAGGAGGGAGCCTGTGGTACAGAGAAGGAGAACATGGTCTCACCAAAGCCATGAGAAGAATGTTTTTCAAGAGGGCCATAGTAGCCAAATATGTCAAATGTTGATAAGGGACAAAGTTTGATGAGGACAGAGAAGTGACTATGGGATCTGACTGCATGGAGGTCACTATGATCTGTTACTGGTAAGCACGGTTTCAGGGGGGTACTGGAGATGGAAACCTGATTGGAGGTTGAGCAACAATGGGAGGTGAAGAGGTAGAGAGAATACAGACAACTCTTTCATGTTTTGCTGTAAAGAGAGAGAATAAAGAATCAGACCATGGTTAGGAATGCTGATGGAAACGATACACTAAAGAGAGGGATGTAATGATGGAAGAAGGGAGTAATAGCCATAGATAGCAAAGTCCCTAAGTCAAGAGGGGAATAGGATCCAAAGCACAAAGGGGAGATTCTGGCTTAGATAGGAGTGAGGACTTGTCTTCCTTTGTAACTGATGGGAAAGCGGAGGGTGTGAGAACAAATGCAGAGGCTAGACAATCTGTGGAGGAAATTCATGTTCCAACTGTTTCAACTGCTTATATTTTGTCATTAAATATGAAGTAAGGTTACCTACTGGCTGAGAGTTGGGGAGGGGGGTGTTATAGATTTGAGAAAATAGGAGAATAAAGTTATTTTGAAAAGTGGAAAATTTACTAGGGACATATAGCAGGATTGCTGAACATTACTGAGTTCCTATTTGAGGTCTGTGGTTTTGAATTTAAAGAAAAATTAACATACGTACATACTTTTCTGAGCAATATTTAGCAGGTCAGGTTCAGACAGGAAGTAGATGAGTAGGTGGTTTTACAGAGTTGGGGTTCTGCCAAGGAAGGAAGACAGAGACAAGGGAAGGATGATAATAAATGACCAAGGCTAACAGGGGAA